AGAAAAGAATTGATAATTCTCACATCTCTGAGTTCATGTTATGATCACAATGTATACTCTGAATGAGAAGATATCAGTGAGATACCTACTCAACTTCAGAACAGATATTAACTTCATATTCTATTGACTTTTTCTTTGAATGAAGAATTGAAAGAAGATAGGCCTGTCAGATCATGTGAAATTTACAGATGAAAATGAAATGTCACTGTTTTAGCATAATTCAAGCAAAGTGTGTGATCATAGACTCAGAAGAAACCTTCAAGAAGAGCAGTCTGCTTCTTCACACAGTTAACATCATAGATAAGAATGTCATTCTAGGTCTTCTATAATTGAGAGAAAACAATTCTCTCATTGACTGAGTCACTCAGATGTGGCAGTATCATCTCACTGATGAAGAGATGATGATAGAGGAATCTGAAGAGTTTCATCAGAAGAATCTTGAGAAAAAGATTGAGTTGATATACTGTGTAGCAGGTGATTGAGACTTGAAAACAGGTGAAGAAGTCACTACTCTCACTGCAAGATTAGCAGCAGTATCTGTCATTAAAGATGAATATATATGACATCTCTTTACAGATTTTAAGGATGTCTTTTCAGAAAGGAAAGCAGTGAAGTTTCCTGACATCAAGATATGACATAAGATTCATCTTGAAGACAGTGCAACAGCACTGTACAGACCTCTTTACAACTTGTCTGTAAAGAAGTTGAATGTTCTGTGCAAATATCTTGAAGAAGTGCAATCAAAGAACTGAATACATTTATTAAAGAGTTTGACAGAGATACTTATACTCTTTATGCTCAAGAAGAATGATAGACTATGTCTATGTGTAGACTACAGAGACCTCAATAAGGTGACAGTTAAGAATTGCTATTTATTACTGTTAATTAACAAGATAATTAATCAATTATCTGAAGCAAAGATGTTCTTGAAGATTGATATACAGAATATCTATCATAGAATCAGAGTTAACAAAGACAATGTTTGAAAAACAGCTTTTCATACTAAGTACAGTAATTTTAAATATCTTGTTTTATCTTTTAATCTTTGTAATGCTTCAGTCATCTTTCAGATCTATATAAATAAGGCACTGCAGAGCCTTGTCAACATCTTCTGCATAGTATACCTGGATGACATTTTAATCTTCTCAAAATCAGAGAAAGAATATGATACTCATGTTCAAGAAGTGTTGAGTTGCTTGAGACAGTATCAACTCTATACAAACACTGAAAAATGCTCATTCTACATGCAGAAGATTGATTTCTTAGATTATATTATTGAGATGAATGATATTTCAATGAACAGGAGCCGGGTCTTCATCATTGAGAACTGGCTGACACTGTGAATGTACTGTGAGATGCAGGTGTTTCTAGAATTTGTGAATTTCTACAGATAATTCATCTATGCATATTCACAGATTACTGCCCCTCTTACAGATCTGTTGAAGAGAAGTGTGAAAGACAGGAAAATGAGACTGTTTATTCTCACTCAAGACACTGTGCAGGTGTTTGCAGAATTGAAACAAGCTTTCACAGATATCATGATGCTGAATCACTTTAATCTCAACTTACTCAGTCAGTGTGAGACTGATGTATTCAGAAATGAAGTCTGTGAAATCTTTTCATAGTTGACACTGAAGATCTTTCAACATTGAAAGAATCAGAGAATAATCATCTCTGAGAAAATAGATAATGAATTGTCTGTGAGAGAAGACTTTTTCACAGAGTCTACAAGATATTGTAAATGAAGATTAGTGATCTTCTTCTTCAAGAAGTTATCACTCATGCAGAGAAGGTATGATACTCATAATCAGAAGATGTTAACAATTGTCAAATTCTTTAAGATCTGATAACATTATCTTCAGAGTAGTAAGTACTCAGTGCAAGTTCTCACTGATTATACAAATCTGCATTACTTCTTGACAACAAAGAGCTTGATAGAACATTAAGCCAGATGGGCAGAGCTGCTTTCAGAGTATGATTTCTATATCTGATACTGTTCAGGTCAGCTTAACCTCACTGACATGTTATCTAGATGACTTGATTATAATATCATTGATGCAGAGAAGGATTCTACAAAAGAATCTCTGTCATTACTGCAGAAGAAGCTGGCTGCAGAGGGTTGAGGTTCTCTAAAGCTCAGAAACAGCATCAGAGAGGCAGCTGCACAACCCAGTATAGAAGGTGAAAGAGAATCTGAGTCTCTGCAGAGGACTGACACTGAAGATTATAAGCTTCTCATGTCACATCTTACAATCATTGAATTGGTAAAAAATGAAATGATCTACAATCTTTCAATCTGACTACTTTTGAAATTCATTGATAAGTTATAGAAGAGAGACATCTCTACTACAGCTCAAATTCAGAAGTTGAAGAAGAAAGAGTTCAGTTTGAACTTGAAAGAGACAGACTCTGAGCAGGGCAGTGCTACTAAGAAACCAAGTCACTGATAACTAGAAGAATGTGAACTTCTACTGCTGAATGATTCAGTCTTCATTCCTTGTAGTAGAGCAGTGTGTCAGAAGTTATTGAGAATTCATTATGATAATTTCCATGTGAGGCACTTCAGGTTAGAGAAGACTGAGAAGCTTCTAAAATGTAAATACACTTGAGACAAGCTTCAGACAGATGTCAAAGAGTATGTTAAGACTTATAATATCTGTCAAAGAATAAAGATTCTGCAGTATAAGCAATACAGTGAGTTGATATCACTGTCTGTTTCAAAGAGCTTATAACAGAATCTATCAATGAATTTCATAGTTGATCTGCTGAAGTTGACAAGAGTCAAAGAATATAACTCAATTTTGATCATTGTTGACTGCTTTATAAAGATGATCAGATATATTTCTACTCATAAAAAGGTTAAAGCCTCTGAATTGACTGATCTGTTTTTAGATATCATTATTCATAATCACAGTGCTCTGAAATCATTGATAACAGATTGAGAATCCCTCTTCATCAGCAAGTACTGATCAGCTTTTTACTATCATCTTATAATAAAATATCTTCTCAGTACTGCTTTTTATTCACAGACTGATGGCCAGACTGAATGTCAGAATCAGACACTAGAACAGCATCTTCAAGTGTTCTGTTCATATTATCAGAATGATTGACTCAAACACTTTCTAACTGCTGAATTTGTATATAATAATGCAAAGAATGCAATCTTAAAGGTATCTTCTTTCTATGCTTATTATGAATATAATTCTTTGTTACTCAGTGATGTTGCGGACAATGTTTCAAAGAGAGAGATAGACAGTCAGAATATTAAACAGATACAGAGAATGAAGTATTTCTCAGTATCAGAAGTAAAAGTGAGATTGAAACTTTTGAACAAAATTCATGAGAAGATGATGAAAAGCATTCACTATGTTCAGAAGTGACAGATGAAATACTACAATTAAAAACATCTTCTAATGAAGTTCTCAATAGAGAATCAAGTGCTACTTTCAGTAAAGAATATCAAGACAATAAGATTATATAAGAAGCTCAGTGAGTGATGACTAGAACCTTTCTCAGTAACAAGAGTGATAAGTAAGCAGATATATGAGTTGAAATTACTCACAGAATTGAAATCAATTCATTCTATTTTTCACATTTTCTATTTGAAACTCTATAAGCAATGCTCTGAGATAGAGCTGTCTCAGCTGAATAATATTGAGATTGAGAGTGATACTGAATATCTTATGAAGAAAATATTGAACAAGTGAACATATTACAGTAAGCTTCAATATCTTGTTAAATGAGAAGATTATTCATTATCAGAGAATTCATGAGAACTGCTTGAGTATTTGAAAAATGCTGAGAAAGAGATTGTAATCTATGAGACAGCTAGTAGAGACTGCTCTGTTACACATCAGAGATGTTGAGTAAGAAACACTGCTTAAGACTTCTCATTTTTCTCAAAGAGTTTTTTAGAGATAATCTCACAGTGATGAGTCAGTGTCTTATAGACTCTGTAGCACTCTTCTTCTATTTTCTCTCAAAGAGTTTTTTAGAAGTTTAATGAGACTACACAAGTGTAAAATTCCTGAAGCAGTTAATAAGAAAAGAAAGAAATATTTGAAATTAATAAAAAGATTAATATTAATCAATCTGCAGACTGCTGCTAACTTAATGAGGTTACAGCCTGCTGAAAAAGTAAAAAGAGAGAACTCAGAGTCTACTCATTAATAATCACATTCTTATTAAACTTATTCTTCACTGTTAAAGTCTCTGACACTGATATCTTTATCTACTGAGAAGTTAGCACTGTAATACTATAGAGAAGCATGCTGTAGAAGAGTATAAAAGATGCTGAAAGTATTAACTTATTAACTTATAAAGTATCTCAGTTATCTGCTTTAACTAAAGTGAGATTCTCTTCAATCAGTGATTAATCTCTGTAATACTTTCAACAGTGATGCTGACTAATCTCTTCTTGAGATCAGTCATTCTGAGATGTTTTTTCATCTCAGAGATTCACACTTTCATCTTCTTTTACAGATAAGCAAGAGAGATCTTCTCAGTCTTGACAGAATCTATCAATACTTGAAGCTCTGAGACTCTCACTCTGTACTGCTTGAGTATCTAGACTTCTTATCAGAACTGACACAATATCTTTCTATGAGATAATACTTACAGAGAGACAGAAGTTGTTGTTGCAGATGCAATGAAAATAACAGAAGTGAGAGAAGAGATAGATATATAAAATTCTCTTCTTCTTCAGCTGCTTGATGCAGTGCAGACAAGTAGTAGTGCCAGCTAGAGACTGCACTGAAGCCTTCTCACAGAGAGAAGATGAAGAAACTGCAGGACTCTGCAGACCCAACTCAGCAGCATTCTGAGCAGGGCTCAGATGTGCCATGGAAGAAGAACTATGAATTAGGCTCCTCAGAGTCACTGTCTCTGAAACCAAGCTCTCTCTGAGTTTCTCTCTGAATGACCACACAGGGTCATATGCCACTGTATTGGCTGAGGGGGGGGGCAGCGTCGCAACGGCGGTGGGGGAGGTGGGGGATGAAATGGACACAGACACACTAGCCAGCAGAAGAGATGACATCTCACTGCAAGACACAGCAACTACCACTGCAGCTGCAAGAGAAGTAGAAGAAGGTGTGACAATGAGAGTGATGCTTCTGTGGCTTATTAATGCTGTCTCTGCCTTCAACCTGGCTTTCTTGACAGTCACAGAGGCTGCCACCACACCATGAAGATGTTTATTCACTAGAAAATGTCAGAATAAGCCCTCTACTGTTCTTCAAGAATGATACTCTCATACACTTACTATTACAGAAGAGAGAGAGAAGAGAAGAATATTTCACAGAGAGAGAGATCTTTTTGAAAAATCCTGTCACTACTGTTAGCTTTGTCTCTAAAACACATTACTTTTGCAGAGAATTTCATATATAGAATGAAATATATTAAGAGATCTGCAAGTCACTTATTAACTATGTTTTTCACATTTCAAATTGATATATAAGGAACCTACTTATCATATGTTTGATTTGAATAATGATGAGAAAAGAAAGATCTACACAGTCAGCAGAAAAACTCATCTATTTCTTTGTATTATATATAGCATATATACTGTTAATCAGTTGATAACTGTTGCTATATAACAAAGATAATTTCTAATTCAGTAATCTTAAGAGTATAGAGACTATACTCTTAAAGAAGAGAGTATTATCACACTCTCAGCTGTGTCAAGACTCTGTTATGATTTCACACAGCTCATCACTTTCATGCAGATAATTTCATTCTGTCTGAACTGGTTTTTAATCACTCTATGACATTATTTGAATGTATCATAGAAAGATCTGATTGATGAATATGAGAACCTCACTTTTATATAAGATTAGCAGATTACTCTTCCTTGATAATGAGACACTGCTGAGGTATTACTTCAGCTATTCTTGCTCATGAAATGAGAGAAGAGTATTCACTCATTGTCTATATAGAATAGCTAGATACTGGCTCCTTATCAAAGAAGTCAGTGATTCATTTTTCTTCTACTGAAATATACACAAGAGTTACTGCATGTCTCATACAATCTTCTTAGTATACTAAGTATCATATCTGTGATATCCTCACAATAACCCTGTAGTCTACAAGCTCACTATTCAAGCAAGATAGTCAAGCTCACTCATACAGCTTCTCAAACAACTACCTCTACGTGTCGCCGCTGACTAGCCACTGCTTCGGTTCCGCCACGTTACAATTTCTGAGATTGAAATTCTGAAGAGAAGAAAGAAAGAAGAAATAGAGAAATAACAAGTTCTTGAAATACAGGAACTTGAAAAAGCAAGCAAGATTCTTGAAAAGCAGTGTCTGAGTGAGATGAATGAAGAAGTTCTGTTAATTCTTCATACTCAGACTAGACAACTACAGGAGATGATCAAGTTCAAACTTGAAATCTCAAACACAGTTCAAAAAACCTTGAAAATTCCTAGTATAATCACTGACTCTTTATCTTACTCTTCTTCTTTCTTTCTTTCTACTTCTTCTTCTTCTTTGAATTAGAAGAAAACATATGCTCAAGCAGCTGAATCTGCTGTCTCTAAATCTGCTATCTCAAAACCTGCTCAAAATTCTGAGAAAACTGAGAAGAATACTGCTCATATCTCTATTCATAGAAAAGTGAAAAAGAAAATGCAAAAAGAGAAAAACTTTCAAATCTTCAGAAATAGAAGACTTATTCTCAAAGTCTCAAATCAGGATATTCTGCAAAGAAACAAGCTAAACTCAAATCTCATTTTCAGAATCAGAAATGAAATTAATCAGCAGTTCTTTTCTCAGTTAATGACTGATATTGAAGTTCAAAAACCAGTTATAGCTTCAATTGAGTTATCATTCTTTGAAAACTCCATCATTCTGACTACAATGCCTGAATTCAGTACTGAATTCCTTATTCAGAATGAGAATCTCTGAAAGTCAGCAGTAGAATCTTTGCTAAACACAACAATTCTATCTGAAAGAGATGAAAAGTGAGACAAATTCATTCTTTATAATATTTCAGTTGAAATTTTTGACTGTGAAGAAGGAATGCTACTTCTCAAAAATGAATTGAAAGAATACAACTTCATTCAACTGAGAAAGAAGCCTATATGACTAAATTCAATTGAGTTCAGATAAAGCAGGAGAAATGCCTCTGTTCTAGTATATATAAAAACACTTGAACAGTCAAAGATCTCTGAAGTAAGAGTAGCAGGTTTGAAAATGAGAGTTCATGAATACAAAGACTCAAGAATGAATCTCAAAGCTCAAACACAGTGTTCAAACTGTCAAAGATATGAACACTTTGCAATCTCATGTTTTAGAGACTCAAAATATACATTCTGTGCCAGAGATCATAAAACTAGTGAGTATAAATATAAAACATGCTCAAAAAGAGGTGAAATTTGTCAATATACTCTGCTTAAGTGCTCTAATTGCAAAGAAAAACATGCATCTAGCTTAAAAGAATGTATGTTTGCTTCTAGAACTCAAAAGAACTGGAGAAAAGATGAAGCTCAAAGTCAATCTAGAACTGAAGAGAAGAGTTAAGCCAGTAAACTCACAACTACAAGCTTAAAAAGAAGAAACTCTTAATTATCTAAGTCTTCAAACTTCAATTCTTCAGTGAAATGTAAACAGAATTTGAATTCTCAAACTTCTGTTAAGATTAGAGAATTGAGAAATGACTCTGATGATAAACTAGATATAATGCAAGCAGTTGAGATTTCTACTTTTCAGAACAGTTATAATCTACTATCTGATAATAGTGATTAGATTCTTCTCTACTCTCTTTTAGTATGAATATACAACAAAAACAACAAAAAAAGTTTAAAAACTCTTCAAAAATCACATTTATTCAAAATAATGTGAATAGAAACTCAAATTGCATTTATTCTTGTCTTCAAATTGCATTTGAATAAAAAGTTGATTTTGTACTGCTTCAGGAGCTGAATTTTGATGCTGAACAAAAATATGTCATTTCTCATTCAAGCTACTACTGCTTTTTACCTCAAAAGTCTGAGATAAAGTCAAGAGTAGTGATCTATGAAAGAAAGAGATCAAGATATCAATTTAATTTAAGATTTGATATCATGTCTGACCCTGATATTCTGGTGAGTGATATTATAGATAAAGAAAATGAGTTTGATATCATACAGCTCATAAATATCTATAATGAAAAGTCATTGAAGAAAAATAACAATATCTGAACAATTGATAGAGGATTTCTGAACATAACTTCATTAAGAAACTCTATAATTGCAGGAGATTTCAATGCACATCATTCCTGATGAAATTCAGAATGCAAGAGAGCAGTGAGAGCTGATAATCTGATTAAATGAACCTTTGAGCATTCAATAGATTTGGTTAATAAGTCTGATTAACAAACATTCTTTAGAAAAGGCATGAAACAGAAGTCTATTATAGATCTAACATTCATGTCACAAAATCTAATGAAAAGAAGACTTGTAAACTGATTTATTGATTCAAATGAGACATCAGAATCAGGTCATGAGATTATTCAATTTGATATTGAACTGAGTGAAAAATAAATGAGTGAAAATCCTCTTCTCTCTAATCAGTATAACTTTGAAAAAGCTGATTGAAAAGCAGTTGAAGAAAGCATAAAACTGTTAAAATCTGAAAGACAGAATGAGCTATATTGAAATTCTGGTCAAGATATCTCAAATGAAATGCTTGAGAATAGAGTGAAGCTTATTACATCTATTATTCTAACAAGTGTTAGAGATAATATTTCAAAAAGAAAATCTTCTGAGTATTCAAAACCTTGGTGAAATGAGAATATCTCATCTAAAAGAAAAGAATTAGCTACTGCTAGAAGAGATTGAAAGAATGATGTAATATCTGATGAAGAGTTCAAAGCTGTCAGAAATGAGTATTTTTCAGATATTAAAAGAGCTAAAACAGACTGCTGGAATAAATTTCTTGAAGAAGCACAAGAGAAGGAAGTTTTTAAAGCTTTTAACTATACTAAAACAAGAAGTGTAGCAAAACTTCCAGCTCTAGAATATGAGTTTCAGAATGAATTATATACAGCAAACTCTTTTGAGGAAAAATGTCAAGCTTTCATGAGAATTCTCTTTCAGAACTCACCAGATTCAGATTCAGATTCAGAGAAAGAGAATATATCACTTCTCAACTACATTGATGAAAATGACTGGAAATGGCCTGATCTTATATAAGATGAATTAGAGTCAGCTATCTTCTCAAGTTCTGTTAAAACTGCTGCAGGTCCTGATTCAATTAATCACTTGATTATTCAAAATACATATTCCTACTTAAAGAATGAATATTTTGAGCTCTTTTTCAATCTCTTGAAAAATGGATATCATTCTGAATGCTGGAGAGAAGCCACTGGAGTGATTCTTGCAAAACCTAATAGAAAAACTTCAATTCCTAAGTCATATAGAGTAATATCTCTATTGAACTGCCTAGGAAAGGTTTTAGAAAAGATAATAGCTACTCAACTATCTTTTATAAGCTCTATAGGTGATTCTCTTTTATTCAGTGAACAAATGAGAGATAGAAAACAGTGTTCTGTAATTGACACTGTTCTCTCAGTTGTTCATGATATTTAAATAGCAAAGCATGAGGGTCTGGTCTCAACTGCAGTTTTTATTGATATAAAAGAAGCATTTGATCATGTTTCAAAGTCAAAGTTAATTCAGATATTGAAGATATTAAAACTGCTACTTTCTCTAATAAAATGAGTTAACTCTTTTATATCTAAAAGAATTATGCAACTCTTCTTTGATGGAATGAAATAAGACAAGACTGAGATAAAAATAGAAGTATCACAGGGGTCTTCAATCTCACTTATTTTATTTGCAATATACACTGCATATCTATTCAAGAATAGAAATATGAGAATAGTGTGATCTCTGAGTTATATGAATAATATTGGTCTAGTCTACAGCTCAAAAACTATCAAAGAGAATTTGAAAGTAATTGAAGAAGCTGCAAAGGAAATCTTTGTTAGAGCAGATATCAATCAAATTCAATTTAATATGGATAAAACTGAGTTAATTCATTTCTTTTCTAGATTCAATGAGAAAGAACTATCTCTAACTCTTTTAAATAGAGAGATTAAACCCAGTGTAAATGTCAAATGATTAGAAGTATGGTTAAACTCCAAGTTGAATTTTAAATATCACATTCAACAAAGAACTGTCAAGACAGAAAGACTATTGAACAACAT